TCTGATTGGTGCAGGTGACCTGGAAACAATAGCTGACAGTCGCATTAGACGTTCGGCTTCTGAAAAATGTTCGAAAACCGGAACACTTACTTACCGGTTTTTGGCATTTGGGAACCAAGGTGTTTGAGAACCAAGGTACCACTGTACAAGATTGAATCGCACATGATTAAAAGTACACACTCACAGCACAACTGTGTTTATCAGCCCCAACAGAAATCTCTATCCTTGTTCAAACCTCCAAAGTTTAAATTACGAAGAAGTCAAAACTAAAGTTCAGTAGCATACCTTAGGCTTCTTCTTTCCTGGTGCTCACAGACACTTTAAAATTCTCAACCCAAAGCCATTCTAAGCTTCACCCTCAGAAAACCTAAACATTTGTGTTGCAGTGAATCTTAAAACATTCCTAATCCTCCTTCAGAAAGCTATCAGGGCACCTCTAAAAAATTAGCAAAACAGTCTCGCCTTTAGCACTAAAAAGAAAACAAAAGCAATTTAAAAAATAGTGTAGAAAAACTAAATAATTCTTGAAAACCAATAAACATTTCTTAGTCTTCTCATCCTTAGCAGGCAAAGAAAACAAATAATAAAACCAAAACAGTGATACAGCAACCAGTATATTAATCTCGAACCAGATCCAGAAATTAAGCCTTTGTAATGTACTTGGGTGTTTTTCTTTTTGGTCTTTTCTTAGGTTGTGAATCAGGGCCTCCAGATTCAGGGTTCAGTTCTGTAGCAATCTTCATGACTTCACAGAAAACTTCAATGTGCCTCTCCAAAGAGATTGAGCAAAGCTCCCGGTCATTCTGTCGCTCTGTGTTCTTGCCTTGGAACTGAGTTCTGGGCTAGTCCACTACACCCCCTGACTCAAACTGCAAATCAGAGTTGCTGAACCATTCATGCTGGCAGCAAGAAATGTCCCTCTGTGCTTTAAATGACAATTCTGGATCACAACTAGGATTGTCTTGATGGTCTTGCTCTCATTTTGAAAAGACATCTAGCCATATGCTGCGATGAATGAATGATTACTATACTATGCTATACTATACTATACTATACTATACTATACTATACTATACTATACCAAAATGTTTAAATTGTCCTCTCCTACCATACTTGTGGGACACGGGTGGCACTGTGGGTTAAACCACAGAGCCTAGGACTTGCCAATCAGAAGGTCGGTGGTTGGAATCCCCGCGACGGGGTGAGCTCCCGTTGCTCGGTCCCTGCTCCTGCCAACCTAGCAGTTCGAAAGCACGTCAAAGTGCAAGTAGATAAATAGGTACCGCTCTGGCGGGAAGGTAAACGGCGTTTCTGTGTGCTGCTCTGGTTTGCCAGAAGCGGCTTAGTCATGCTGGCCACATGACCCGGAAGCTGTACGCCGGCTCCCTCGGCCAATAAAGCGAGATGAGCACCGCAACCCCAGAGTCAGTCACGACTGGACCGATTGGTCAGGGGTCCCTTTACCTTTAACTTACCATACTTGTGTGGTGTGCCACACCTTTTGATAACCACTGCTTGAAATGTGTGATTGAGCAGTAAGGCAAACTTTGTAAGATTTTAGCTGCTGGGTGAAATTTCCCCCTGAAATAGTTATCATAGAAACTAGCTGATGGAGTTGCAGCTTACAGGAGCCTGCAGGTTTCACTTTGTAAAAATTACATTGCCTCAGAATCAGTGGATTCTGACCAGACATGATAAAAGAGGGCGCTCATGTTTTCACTGAAGAAGCAGAGAGCATTCCTAACATCTAATCAAAAGTACCCTTTACCTTTTTAATGCAGTCCTTCATTTGTATTTTGTTGTTGTTGTTGTTTATTTCTTTCCATTATCAAAACTACAATGTGCTTATAGGAGGGGGGGAAGGGCATTAGGTTTTTAATTTTCCTGTTTTAAGCATTAAGATGAAGAATATAATTAGAGGCTCATTAGACAGTGGATGTTGGGTTGTTGTTTTTTACCACTTTGCTCACCTGGTTATGTGAGCACTTCTGGGTTACTGGCATGAACATTGGGTTTCTCAGGTGAAGTAGAAGGACCCAGTGCAGGATGCATGTTGACTCAGGCCAAACAAAACATATCATCTATGCTGTTAAGGCAGCAGGATAGTCACATGCCAAGTGTGACACATCTGTACTGTTGATGGATTGTGATACCTTTTCCATGCCCTGGCAGTCATAGCTTGGCTTCACCCTGCATGGCCTCACAATCTGTTGCTCATTTTCTGTTTTAAAGTGCTAGCAAAATTTAGCTGCATTTTAAAAGCGGGGGGTGGGGAGCTTTATCTGACTCTTGTCAGCTCTTTCCCAGAACCTAAAAAATTGGTTCAGGCAGTTTCGCATGCCTATTCCGGGTCGTTGTTTTGCAGCCTGCAAAGGTCTAATAATAATCACGTGATATATGTTCAAGAAGAGTTTCTCCTGATCCAGACAAGGAGAGCTCATTGTAAGCAACTTGCTTTGATGGTATCTGGGAGCCAACTGAAACCTTCAGTGCCTTAAGCACCAACATTGGCTGGCCCAGTCCCCACTTACTTAAATACCACAGTTGTGTGTGCATGTGTCTTTTCTACAGAGTCCACACCCCTAAAGGTATCTACAATACATGAGGGTTGGGGAGCCTGTGGCTCTCCAGATATTTTTGGATTCTAACTCCCGTCAGCCCCAGCCAGCGTGTCGTTAGTGGCCACTGATTATGGCAAATGTTGGCCAGCAACACCTGGAGGGCTACAGGTTCCCCGCCTCTGAAATAAACCTTCACACCCATCACAAAGACATGCTTTTTGGTAGCAATAAGAGCAACACTAATGGTCTGCTTGACAAAGGTCTGTTATAGAAGCTTATAGAATCAGAGTAGCAAAATGAAACAAGCAAAACCTGTATATGCAGTCATCACCATGCGTTTTGTTGACAGAATTAGCCGTTTCTTGGGACAGGGGTTGATAACCTTGACTCACAAAGAATGTAGATTCCTTTTCTCTCTTCTTCTTTTGTTTACTTATGCTCGGAAAATACACCAACCTGGTTACAGATCTGGTGTTGCATTTCCAGCTGCATTGAAACTCACTCCATTTAAGCTGCCTCTCTGGAAACGTGGAAGGAGGCAGCTGTGCGGCGGTTTTGCCATTGGGTCACAGAGCTAAAAGCTATCAGAGCTAAATATAAGAAGCAAATAGGAGTATTGGAAGAATGTGAAACATTCCAGACAGGCTAAAAATGTCATATTTTAAACACCCTATTATGTACCAGGAGGAAACGAACAAGTTTAGTAAGGCTTTATTGAAAGGATCTTTTATCCAAATGGGGTTGGCTGTAAAATGTTATTGGTCTGAAAAAGATGATTAATTTTAAGTAGACACGGGCTACGCTCCTTGCCAAACCCAGGTCATTGTTGATTACCATCTGTTTCCAGAGTCTTTCCAGAGTTGCTTTTCATAGCAAACCTAACCTAGTTTCTCTGCTCTGGTCTGAACCACACAAATTGTAGGCTTATTCTGGGGTTTGGAACCATTGGGAACATGCAGGACTAGCCACCAACACTGCCACATGGGCCAGGCTTGTGGTCCAGCCAGTATATGACTGATGTCAATAGTTTGGCGTCACCTCTCTAGCCATGTATACCTGCAGCTTAGAATAACACTTCACACACCTGATAAACTGAACTCTAGTCTATGAAAACTAATACATAATGAACGTATTGGTCTTCAAGCTGATGCAAGACAATTGTTTTTGAGAGTGAGTTTGGATGAATGGTGGGAAATAAGACTAGGGTGCAGGAACCTGATGTGTTCACTGGCAGGCCTTAAAGCAGAGTGTCCTGTTCTCCCTGGGCTTCTGAAAAAACAGTGGACCCGCCAGCAACAACTCTAGCCGCCTGAGAAACAGTTTCTGTCCAAATTCGATTTCGGTTTTAAACGCAGTGTAAGTAGTCTCTATGGGAGTATATTGTATTTAAAAATGGGGTATCAAATGGGGTATCAGAGTTTTTAGGGGACTACCAGGTTGGGATAACTGGCTTGTTGGTTTTTGAATGTCTTATTATTTTAATGTTGTACTTAATCTTGTTTTTAAGTTGTATTTTAATCAATTGTTTTTATACCTGGTGTTAGCTGCCCTGAGCTTGGTCTTGGCTGGGGAGGGCGGGGTATAAATAAATGTATTATTATTATTATTATTATTATTATTATTATTTCAATTTCTTTGTTCTGTATGGGACAATGACAATAAAGATATCGTATCGTATCGTCTCGTATCGTCATAGTACAGCAACAAAAGCAGTACCCAAGGCTGGTTCAAGGGCAGAGTCTAAGTCAGCAGAGTCACAACAAAGTGTCATGCAAGAGGCACATTGGGAGCAGCCCATGGTCAACCGTGGTCAGGTTTGGCACAGGCAGGACTTCCATTCCCAAGCAGAGCAGAGAGCTGGTACATAGATATTGTTCTTGCAGCTCTTCCAGCCCAGCCTTGGGGTTTTTTGTCTGGAGCTGCTGGAATCATCCCCAAACCTCTGCGGACTCCTATCAGCTCCCTTTTCTACAGAGGTCTCATTGAAAAGAAGGTCTTACTCCTAAGGAGACCTTTCATATAGTTGGACACGTCTCTCGATTGGTTGGGTTTCCATCTGGCGTTTTAAGGTGCCATCTTTCCCTCAGGCTTGGGACCCATTCAGCCTTAATGTCAGAGGCTGAGCTCACTCTGGGACCCTCGTCACAGGATCCTGGCTCCTTTCCCCCAGATGGAGCCTGACCTAGGTCTTGATGTAAGGCCTCCTGGTCCTCTTCTGTTGAGGACTCACCTGGCTAAGACATGACACAGTGCTGGATCTCCACATTGCTGGTGCCTGGGGCTGAAGGGAGAGTCCAACACCTGAGAGCCCACAGGTTTCCCATCCCTGCCCTAAAGGTATCACTTCCAGGATTATAAGCATTTCAGCCCTCCAAGAAGAGACATTTACAAGTTGGAGGGTCTTTTCTTGCAGTGCTTTGACATCATTTGACAGTCTTGAGCCTAATAGTATATTCGGTAAAGCATGAGACTCATAATCTAAGGTTTGTGGGTTCGAGCCCCAATTTGGGCAAAAGATTCCTACATTGCAATGGGTTGGACTAGATGACCCTCGTGGTCCCTTCCAACTCTACAGTTCTATGATTCCACATTTCTAATATCTTCCTTTGAAAGCATCAGGAGTGGGAAATCGGTGGTCCTCTAGGAATTGCTGGATTGCAGCTCCCATCATCCCTGACTAAGGGTCGGGCTGTCTGAGGCTGATGGGAGATGGAGTCCAACAGCAAATGCAGGGCTACAGATTTCCCATCCCTGAATGTGTACATAACTTTGCTTCAGCACGTTCCTTGAGGTTGCTTCAACACCACAGTTGCATTTCCCAGCTCCATAATATCACCCAAGGCTGTTAGAAGTTGATTTCTTTCTCCCCCTCTTCTTTCTTTCTAGGAGCTCGCCAAGAGGACACCCAGTAAACATGCAGATTATCAGGCAGTGCAGAACGCATTACAGGCAATGAAAGCAGTCTGCACCAATATCAATGAGACCAAGAGGCAGATGGAGAAGCTGGAAGCCCTTGAGCAGCTGCAGTCTCACATTGAAGGATGGGAGGTATGATGGCTGGAGGAACAATGAGCCTGCAATCTCGCCCTCTAGCTGTTTTGGGACTACAACTCCCATCATCCCTAGCTAACAGGACCAGTGGTCAGGGATGATGGGAATTGTAGTCCCAAAACAGCTGGAGGGCCAAGTTTGGCCATCACTGCTTTACATGCTTGTGTGCATGAGTAAATCCCATTGAACACTATGGGACTTACATCCAAGTGCATATTCATAGTTTTGGCTGCTTGACATGGTGGCAGGTTTTTGCAAATAGTACATTCTGTTTTTTGAAATGTCATGTATGGATTTTGCCATCATTGGTCTTAAGTGATGTATAGTAAGATTAAAATTACACTAGAAAGTTTTTAAGGAGAGCTGTTTTCTTAAATAATTTTTTTCTAAAAGTACAGCATTCCATACAAATTATGACAGGCAACAATTACCATTGCACTAAAATGTACTATTCATAAGATAGTCATAAAAGTAGAAAATGAAGATTATTCATCAATTGGAAAATATTAATTCTATCTGAGTATGTATTTCAGAACCATTCTAGGTAAAGAAAAAAAAGTAAAACCATTATATCAACCATTATATAATATAATGATATAACCATTATAACCAGTGATATAACCAATTATATCAGAACCATTATATCAAGCACCAAACAGGGCAAACAAACCAAATCCCCGTAGAAAACTATATACACTATCTCTAAAACGAATTCTAAAGTTAAATTTAATAATCTTAAAATTATCTTTATTTTACATAAACATTCATTTATTTTTGGAATATATATATGTGTTGTGTGTGTGTGCTTTGCTAAAATCAACTACTTTCAAATGCAGGGGATCTTTTTTATGTGGTCAACAGAATCACCTAGGGTTCAGCGTTAAAAGAGATAAAGAACAGGCACTTAGATGATTCTTTGTATGGAAAAAGCATGAAACTGGGGTGCATGCTATTGGCCTGGGGTTCTGTTTGCATAAGGCAACCTCTGCCAACCTGGTGCCTTCCAGGTGTTTTGGACAACAACTCCCATCAGCCCCAGCTAGCACATGGTGAAAGCTGGTATAAGTAAGTGCACTGATGGGATGATAAAGGAAAATAAAGACCTTTCCAATTTGCAAAAGAATGTTCCCTGCCTGATTGCCTAGAGATGCTTCACCACAGGAGACCAAATGATTGGCTATTTATAAGCTTGACAAAGAGGGAAATTTAGCAGAGATGCCTCTTGTGATAGAAGCTAGTAATCAGGGGTGCAGCCTTTAATTGAAATTCAATTAAAAGCCTTCTTTATAAGCTCGAAAATGCATCCCTAATTAAACAGACGTGATTTTTAAAAGTGTTGCATGGCTTTTAGAAGCATTGGTAAATGCCAATTTAGGAGTGGCATTCTCTTCTTCTTTCGAGGGGGAAATTTCTCTAGTTCAAGGATGGACAACCAGATGTTGTTGGATAACAACCCCCATCATTCCTAACTACTCCATCACGCTGTCTGGGGCTGTTGAGAGTTGAAGTCCAACAGCACCTCGAGGCTCACAGCTTTTTCTTCCCTGCTCTCATTCTAAGACAGAGCCTGCCACAATCTATGCATGTAACATCTAAAAACAAATATTCCCCTCCCTGAAAGTGATTGCTTTAACCATATACAAATTGATGCATACATATTTAAAAATATGATTAATGAAAATGTATTTGATCAGTAGTACAGTATTTCTTTGATCAGCCCAGCTAGTAAGGGATTCTGCAACCGCTCGGCGGATATGGAAGTTGGACATCTGTAGCAGAGGCTGTTAGTGGAAGTCGAGACTTTAGGGAGAGAAGAGTACGTCTTTTATTCTACTATATGGTGCAGTGATTGCTAAATGACTTCATGGATGTATTGGTGCCGGGAGAACAGTGGGCCTGACAGTTAAATTATCCAGCCTGATGGTTGCCAGCTGACGATTCCTCCGCTGAAGCCATCTTTCAAGAGGTCATGTAAACTTCCTCATATTCAGACTATTGGGCGTACTCCACAATTGCCGTTGTTGTTTTGTTTTAAGGCCTGCTCATTTTTCCCTTCAAAGATGTTCTTGGCATCCAACTTGAGCCACTTGAACAGCCCAAGATATCCAGCTGTGTGTGTGTTTTTGGATAGCCAGCTCGGCAAACAAAGCTCAGAGGCCATGTTTAGTGCAGCGAGACTCCAGGCTCAGTTGTAATACCATTCTGGACTTGATATGACTTGGGGCTTTTGAGGGGGGTGGGTGGTAAGTTGTGCTGGAAGTCTGAAACCTCAGTTGCCATTTTGCCAGGACATCCATGGGAGGTGGTGTTTTATTAAACAAAACCATGATCAGGCTTGATTTTGTAGGGTTGAAATGTGCCACAGTGAGCATTCTGGGAACGAAAACTGTTTCTGATATGTTTATTGGTGTTATTTTACAAAAAAAGGAGCTGTCCACTGTAATTCATTCTATTACTTGGAGAGTTGTCACCATTAAACAAAATCATCAGAATGTACATATAAGTTTGCCTCTATTAGGAGTTTATCTTGGGTCGATGTAGTTTTGAAATTGTTGTAACCTGCAGGTGACCTAGGAATATATAGGCAAAGGCCCTCCAAATGTTGTGTTTGCATAATAGTCTGATTGCTTTTCAAAATACTTTAAAAGGTCTGCAAAACAAGTTGCAAAGATGTGTAGATATGTGTGTTGCCCTGGGAGTTAATCATAGTAATTAAATTGTTCCTACTCCTTTGCCTTCTCTCTAATCATCTCGTCTTTTTGCCTCACTTCGAACATGATCAGGTGCTAGCACAGCCTTCCCCAAGCTGGTGCCCTCCAGATGTTTTGGACTACAGCTCTTGTCATTCCCAGTAGGAGAAACAGAAACAGAAAATTATTTACTGATGTGGAAAAGACCACAGAGATATCAGCAGCCAACCTCTCTGGGAGGCTGCCACTACCAAAGAGCCCTCCTCTTTAACATTAGCTTAATCATTAATATTTAGGCTTTTATCCTCCTCAGAGTAAGCCCACTGAAATAAATGTAGCCCAATTAGTGATGTCCATTAATTTAAACGAGTCTGTTCTGAGCAGAACTAACATTGGATACAACCCTTGAGCATTAATATTAACATGGTGATCTACAACAGGCATAGGCAAACTCCAGCCCTCCAGATGTTTTGGAACTACAGTTACCATCATCCCTAGGTAACAGGACCAGTGGTCAGGGATGATGGGAATTGTAGTCTCAAAACATCTGGAGGGCTGGAGTTTGCCTATGCCTTATCTACAAGGATGAGAAATAGTTAGGCAGTTTGCTACAAGCATACATGTTTGGAGCCAGTGTGGTATAGTGGTTAGAGTGTCGGACTAGGACCTGGGAGATCAGGGTCCAAATCCCCACTCTGCTCTGAAGCTCACTGGGTGTCAGGGACTGCACTGAGGTGGAATGGTGGGAGTCTCCCCCCTCCCCTTGATCGGGATCCTGAATCTTCCCAGGAACAGGAGGACAGTATAGATTTGGAGCAGTGGTTTGCAGAGGGACATAGTTCAGAAGGCGGAAACTAGGAAATACTGGATGGGGAACAGCTAGGAGGAGAAGCACTGGGAGAGAGAGAGAGTTAACAGATTCACTGTCTCTGGAAAGCATTCATCCGCTCAGCCCAAGGTCAAAAAGAGCTGATAAGGTGGCAGCACAGAAAGCACATGGTTACGAGCTCAGGTTACAACATGTGGTAGTGACGTGGGTGACCAGGGAGGAAGTGGGTGGAACCCTTAATTGGGAGCACCGTCATTCCTAGGAAATGGATTCTTTGTTCTCTCGCTGTGATCCTTAAAGTTTCTAACTGGTAAGAAGACCCCTTTTCCTTTGTTCTGCTTATCTACTGCCAGGGGGGGGGGAGGAAGCTGATTCCCTGAAGCCTAACACTGAGTGACCTTGAGCCAGTCACTGACTCTCAGCCTAACCTACTTCACAGGTTTGTCGTGGGGATCAAAAGGGGGGGGGGCATAATAATAATGTATGTCACCTTGAGCTCCTTAGAGCAGAATATGGGATATAAAGAATATGGGATATAAATGCAGTATATATATATCAGCAAGAGCACTCATTTAGAGTTAGAGGGAGGTATTTGTGGCACAGTGGCTTTGAGGCTGAATTGTGAACTAGGAAGCACCCAGTTTAAATCTCCTTCCTGCCATGAAGTAGTTTTAGACGAGCTACTATTTCTTAGCTAAGGGTTTTTGAGATGATGTATATATAGCACACAGCACTCTAAAGTTCTATATAAATGATGGTTATTATTACTACTCTTATTAGATTTGTTGAATTGTCTATACTTTGTCCTCCCATTACCATTCTGCTGCTGAAAGTGTGAAACTGATTCAAATGTGGGCGCAGTGAAAATGGAAAGGAAGCTATTCTGCTGACAATGTGTGTTTCACAATTCCCCAATGGTTCTCTTTTTTATTCTTCCCAGAAA